CACCCACGACCTCTGCCACACACACACACAATTCTTTAAAGCATGAAATAACAAAGTACAACTAAAAATGTTAGACCATTAATTGACCATACAGAAAAGTTTTATCCTGGGTGTTTTTTTTAACAACACCAATTTTGAAATAAAAGCAGAGTTTTTTATTTTTATTTTTTTTTACTTATGTGCTCATTGCTCCCTTCAGGCCAGATGGAGATGGTTAATAACTTTGATGTGGCCCATGGACCATACAATACCCGTGTGTACTAGAAAGTACCTACTGGCATGGCTATCACCTCTGCACTAAGCTGTCTCTATGACCTTGTAACTAACATGGTTGTAGACTCGACATGAGGTCTGTGTGACCAGTTCTGCTCAAACCCCATCATTTAGATATCCAGCTAAGACCTTGATACGCGGCCACCATGACAATAAAACAACACGATCTTGTTATGACAGTTTGGTGCATGCTACAAAGCAATGTAGACTTATCACACTCCATCACCCATCATGTGGAGTTTGCTGTTTACTTAAGGTTGCAACTAGGCTGAGACGAGTTGCTGAAAAATGACAAGAACCTAGGCAACTTTTTCTGTTAAAGCCTTGCTGAATTCCAAGTGAACAGCGAGCCCCATTGCTGCAATATGAGCAGCTAGTTTTTTGAAAATCTGTGTTTATTTTTGTGTGTATGGCTTACCAGAGCTACAGTATTTTCTAGGCTGTGCACATTATTTTGTGTTCCCTCTCCACCTATATTAGACACAACTTGGCTCACTTTGCACCAACTTTGGCAGCCACCCCAATGTTCATGATTCAATTTGCTGGAGTACCGTGTGATGGTGAAGAGACCCATGCTAGAATATGCTATGAAAGGAAATTAAGAACCACTCTGAATATTGCAAGACATCCTGGAGACTCCCTCTGAAATGCAGTTCACCAACTAGTCCCAGACCAGTGAGATACTAATTTTAAGACCACCTGAAAACCCCGCTAAGACCCTGCAGAGACCATCTATGTTAGCTGAAGGGGTTCAGCTTCTCTTCATCTAACCATTTTGCTCCCACGTTATTATTATTTATAGTGTATAAAAATAGGACCCTTTCACTGTGTCACCACATGAAACCCATTGATTTATAGAGTAAAATTGTCCTAAACTGTTTGAGTGTGTTTCTGTGTGCAGGTTAACCAGTGGTGTGAGTCTGGCATCTACTTGTTGGCTTCCCAAGCTGTAGACAAGTGTCAGTCTCAGGAAGGGGCAGAGTCAGCTTTAACAGATATTGAACACTTTCTGGAAACAGCAGAGAAGAACCAAATAACAGAACTGAGGAACCTTCACAACCAGTTTGAAGTTGTCTTGTCGGAGGATGTGAAGGTACACTATAAAGGATAAAATCAGTAACATCGTCTTCAATTGACAACTGATGGTGCTGTGTTTTCCACCTGCAGGGCAGTGTTATGAAGGCTCTAAAGCGACTGGAGGATGTTCAAGAGATGTTTGAAAAGCGACATGTGAGTCTCAAGAGACTGTCAGCTAAACAGCCAAGACCCATTCAGCCTGTTGCCCCAAGACCCGAGTCATCTCCAAAACGGCCTCCCCAGAAGACGTCCCCCAGGACCACAGGGAGCCAACAGCGTGAGCTTAATGTTCTGGATCTGATTTCAGGCCACCTATAAGGTCTGTGCATGTGATGGGGATTTAAGAAATGAGCAATCATCAAATGTTTTTCCTGTTTGTTTCAGCTCCTAATCGCAAATCTTCAGATAACTCCAGCAGTGTGAGGCCGCAAACTGAAACTGATCCCAATAAAAAGAAAAATATACGTAAGACTAAAGGGGGCATCAAGGTACTTCAATATATTCTTTTTATATTAACGACACGCATGTAGAAAAATAATATTTCAATAATGTCCAATAATGCCCTGATGCATGATCAGTAATGCAGTTAGATAAATCTAACAATGTAACAGGTTCTTCTACGTTGAAACAAAGAAAAACCTGTCCAGAGATACTGACTCAGCCTTGTTAGAATACGGTAAATGGACTGTACTTATCTAGCACCTTTCTATCATATCAAGACACTCAAAGCGTTTTTTTCTACAATCTGTGCCTTCATTTACCCATTCATACAGCACTCTACTATATCTATACAGAGTAAATTGAACAAATCATTCTAAAAAGATTAATCAGTGCTTTATCACATTTGTTCACCGAAGGGACATACATCAGAGGCAACGAGGGTTCATTGTCTTGCCCAGGGTCACTTTGGCATGTGACTGCTGGTGGAGTCGAACCCCCAACTCTTGCATTGGAGGACGACTGCTCTAACCACTCAGACACAGCCACCTCTCTATATATATTTCAATAATGTCAAAATATTTAATAAGTTATTGAGTCAAGCTGCTCGCTGACTTTAGGAGACATGATGCCCAGTGTTGGAAATCTTTCTTTTTTAGGTTAAACAATTGATATGTTGCCCCTTTGTGAAACAATATGAGTCATATTACAGGCATTTTGTTTTTATTTACATGTCACACAACAGGGTGACACGGTGGTTCAGTTGGTAGAGCTGTTGCCTTTCAGTGAGAAGGTTGCCAGTTCAAATCCTAGCCCAGGACCCTTTTAGGTGGAGTTTGCATGGTCTCTCCGTTCATGTGTGGGTTTTCTTTGGATACGGTTTCCTCCCACAGACCAAAAACATGCATGTTAGACTGATTGGTAACTCTAAATTGTCCCTAGGTGAGAGTGAGAGAGTGAATTGTTGCTTGTCTCGTTTGTCTCTATGTGTCCCTGTGATGGACTGGAGACCTGTCCAGGGTGTACCCCGCCCCTCGCACAGTGATTGCTGGACATGGGCACCAGCGACCACCGTGACCCAAAATGGAAGAAGTGGGTAAAAGATAAAGGATGGATGGATAAGGTCTGAGACAGGTTCAAAACTGCAGGAAAACTGTCATATCCACCAGTACTGAGAGCAACCTGGAAACAAATATGAAACTTGAACCAAACTCTAAAACAAGAAACGGTTTTCTGATGATGTGATGATCTTTATAAAAAGAAAAATCCTAAAACCATTAATAATCTGATGTGTATGTGTGTGTGTGTGTGAGACAGATTGAGGTGATGCACGAGGAAAGCCAGGGAGGCTCCACCCATGTTCCCATGTCCAATGAGAGTGAGGAGAGTCTCTCGAACAGGCGCAGGTAAGCTCAATTCTATGGTTTCCATTTGGAAAAAACAGCGCCACCAACAGGATGTTGAGCCGCTCGTGCAGCTCTTAATTATCTGCTGTGATTTCTGCGCAGTTTGAAGTCTGAAGAGACATTAACTGCAGTAAAATCTGACTGAGTAGATAAGTAAAGGTCCAGAATGGTCTCCTGATACCTGTGTCCTCATGTGGGAACAGTTCCTGCATTATATTGTTTTATTTGGTTTAGTTTAATACTGTTTTTTTTTTCTTTCAAATTTTAATTTTAAATGTACTTCTGAAATGTTAAATTTTGTCACAGCGACCCTAGCACGAACACATTTCATGATATGTGCTGATTCTGAGAGTTGTCTATGTATTGGTCCTGTTCACAAGCTCCTGGCAGAATCTTTTCTGTCAAGTGTACTCACCAAGTATTTTGTAATTAGTCAGAACTTTGTGGGTGTGTTTATGTAGGAAAATAAATTTCTTACATAGTTCTTATTGTCCCACGTTGCAGAGCGAGGAGGGGGAGTTGGAAATACCCACTGTCTGTCTGACCATGCATGTTGTGAGCATGATACTAATCATTTTGGTGTGTGGCTATATCTAGGCATAACAAAGGTCACCATCAAAAATTAGGTTGCTATACAAAATCCAAGATGGCTGCCATCATATAATGTAAACTGACCACCGTTATCATTTGAGTTAACTATACTTTCTAGTTTTTCTATTTTTCAAAAGTACTTTGTATACTAATCTATGGGGGCCAAGGCCACCATTGTCTGCCCCTGGCTCCACCAGTTTATCTGGTCGTGGATAAAACTGCTCCAGGATCTGTCCCTTTGTGCTGCTCTGGACACAAAAATAAATAAAAAAAACTCCCTCTGTTCTTCTCCACAGTGTAACTCCTACCATTTTGAATATCTTACACCAAAAAAAAACAAGATTTAGTTGCATTCTCTATTCAGTTCCAGTCCAGAAAAACACTCATCTCGTACAAACATTCACTGTTCAGATCCCTCAGCAATGGGGGACATGGGTGTAATGCTTGTTTTAGTTCAACTGGCCAACTGGTAGAAAATACAGCCAACTGTTCCAGCAAAAACGAAAGAAAGTCAAAGAACCTGTGGAGGGAGATGGATCAGTTTTAGTGCACCAAGGAGACAGCATGGACACACAGGTGGCTTTCTGTGGCTGTTCTGAATGCCTATACCCACCACCTTTCATACCAGTATATTTACATCTTATGAGGAGAAATAATGATTACCGGTAGTCATTTTGTTTGGTGATATCACAAGTGATCTTCTCGATCAGTTATCACTTTATGCAAATGCTGTGAACATCTTATTACCATACCAAATTTTAACTTCATATCTCTAAAGTTTACTGAGGTATATCAACTTATTTGTAGTCCAAGGATGATTGCATGTGGTGGCCATCTTGAACTAGGTTGATTCCAAAAGATTAAAAGTAAAGCAGTTATACTTTGGTAAAAATACAACGTTATAACTGAACGTATCAGTCAAGACAAAAATTATTTCAACTCTGCATCCAAAGTAGAGTTAAGAAGTAATTTTTTGATTCTCAAAGTCCAGACTCTGATCCAAACCAAACACCAAGTCCAGCTGATTGAATATGTTTTTCCTCACCTATCTATCAGATATTCAGCTTGTCTCAGAGCCATGGGAATATGTGTAGATTTGTATGAACCTAAATATCCCTTTATTTCATCTGAATGTGGACATTAAAGTATATGTTCTATAAAATGAATAAACCATGTTCATAATGTTATCATGATCTAAAGCTAATTTATTCCATTTTTTGTGTAATTTTAGCTATTGTACAAAGAGATGAACAATAACAGAACTGCTTTATAAACCATATTTACAAAACTCAACCATCCTAAAATATTATAGGGATTTAAACACGGGTTACACTAATAAAGTCTCTTTGTATCCCTTTATTTGTAAATCCCATAACTTTGCATATGGACATGCATGTCCTCCGGCATCCATCACTGGGTGCTGCAGCACCCTCTGCACCCCTGCCTCCCTTAGCCTCGGATACAGATGTCTTTAGCTTTTACTTCAATTATTTCAATGTGACTCAATTGCAGTTAATTTATGTGTGAAAACAAAGACGTTTAATTTGCTGAAGCATTAAAAGTAGCATTTCATATTTTATATATAATATAGTATTTTTTTTTAGCATTTAGTGTATTGTATTAGGTTTGTATTTTAAAATAAAACTACACTTTGTATTAAGCATTACTGTTAAACACTGGAGCAGCTTACGTTCACAATCGAACACGTATAGGCAAACATAACCAGTTCTTTTAGCTGTAAGTTGTAAACATGTTTATTAAGAATGAGTATCTCTTTACTGTTTGTTCTGGACATTTGACCTTCTCTAGAAATCAGACTTGGACATCATGTCTGAGACACTCTGCTTTAACAGGAAACAGCAGGTAAAAATTGTGAATCAGCTCTAATTCAGACCTGATAGGGCCAAGTGTAAACAAAGCCATTCAGACAGTCGGATAAACCAGAGTGAAAGCTGATAGTGTTGACAACAACAGAGAGCGTGTGCTTATTCACCACAGTTCTGGTCTTTGTTCCACGGGGCATGCATGTAAACCAGGCTTTATAGTATAACAAAAGGCCCTTATTAGTTTCTGTTCAGAACATGAAATGTTCATCACCATTATCAAACCCACACCAGAGTTTTTTTTTATGTAAAAGCAGCTGCACAGGAGTACGTGTTCTGGAAGTATGGCCGACACAGAATTATCACTCTCATTGCGGTACAGTACATGTTTCTCAGAAACCCTCTGGAGTTTCCAGAGGCTGTGGAGGATATGGCTTCCCGCCACAATGAGTGCACGTCAGTAGTATGACCATGTGATGTAATCATGTGATCATAGATGCATGAGTGGTATGGAGCCTTGCCCTCCCCTGAAAAGTATACATGCTCCTGCGGGGAGAGTCCCATGGCCTTGGCACACATTCCCATGAAGACATCGTCGATGTACAGGGAGGAGTTCAGCACCAGGGTGGCCTGGTAGATCTTTGTAGCCACGTCTTCTGAAACCACATACCCAGCTCCAGCAGTGTAGTCCGGGTACGAAGGCCAGGGGTACAGATCATAAGGAACATAATATTTGCTGTTTTTACGACGAACAGGAGGGGCTCCTTTGTGTATGTGGCCCACCCAAAGGTCTTTAGCTCCTGACTGGCTCCTCAAGGCATGCTGCAAGTACTTCACCAAGTTCGGCATATGTACAAAAATGTCATCATCTGCTGTCATGAGAAAACGGGCCTGAGGACAGTACATCTGGTTCCAGTGGAACTGCATGATCAGTTTGGCAGTAAGGTTATGAAACGTGTCCAAAAAGTTTTGCTGGATCAGGTCTCTGTAGGCCTGGTCCTCCTGCCAAAGGGCATCCTGCATCTGGAACCTTTGGCTAACATCTGGATGGATCCCCATGGCGAACAGAAGCCTCACACTCACCCCCAGCTCTGACCAGGCAAAGCTCTCGTTGCCCCACGTCTTCCTGATGGCCTGACGCCGCTTGAAGTTCTCCGGTGAGGATTTCACAAACAGAAGCAGGAGGACATCATCCCGGTCTTTCCGTGGACCCCCTCTGCACTTCCCAGGATGGTTGATGAGGTAACGATAACTTTGTAGACTGTCTCTTGCGCTGCTAGTGCCATCCTCTCTGCCACGATGATTGGAAGAAATGGTGAGGGTTGAGTTGAGGAAGTCGTATCTGTTTATCAGGTAGCGGTAGGAGTAAGACCTCATGTGGCTGACCACATGGTGGTCCAGGTCCTCCCAGCAGACCATCAGCATACAGAGCACTAGGCCAGTGGTCAAGAGCTGCACACATCGGCACTTGCGAATGCGCCGAAAGTTGATGGACATTGCGATGACAGTTCTTTTGGACATCTGAGCAGCAGCATGAATTCTGTGCTGTCTTCCTCTCAGGCTCAACTTTCTTTTGTCTTGTCACTCCCTGGTGGTTTGCTCATCCTCCTCCTGTCCCTTCAATGATGAAGCACTGTCATGTCCTGAAGGCATTGTTTCACATTTTCAGAAGTCTGTTTGCTTCATTACTGCTTTGTGAAGTAAAAACAAAAACCATCCCACTGCCCCAGAGCAGTACGCCGATAGAACCGGTTCTTATCAGAGTTTCACTTCTGCTCTTCAGGAGACAAAAGTCAAAGTTGTTCTTCTTTGTGTTCTCCTCCTCAGTTTGGGCTTAGTTTCCTGAAACTCTGTCTCCTTCAGGCACTCAGGTTACTGACAAACCTGAATGTTAAGGAGATACGTGATACCTGGGGGAGGGGAGAGGGGGAGAAACAGAACAAATATCATTCATGGGCTACATACTCAGGAAAACTACTTTTAGGTTCAGAGATTTAAGAAAGTTTTACTAATAGACAACACAGTCTAAAACATTATTGGCCACCTTTCTGGAACATTTTGGTGGCAGGCGACAGGCAATAAACATTTGAGTTGAGGCCCTAAAGGTAAAGCCACATTAACTTTTAGTTTCTAGTGGCTTCTTTTGGCTTTAACTGTTAGTTAGCAGCAATACAATTTTTAAATCCCACTCCTTCATGGAAATAGACACTTCCTGGACCAAACAATAAAAATTAAAAACAACAGTGAATAAATCAGATAATTTGTTGAGTTTAGTTAATTTGGGTCCGTCTTACCCTGCTGCTGTATGTTCAAATGTGTATTTTATTTTAATGTTTAGCTTTAATTAGGTATTTGAGGTGAAGCGTCATGCTGTGCTGTGATTGACAGCTTGTTGGACAGCTGGACACAAGACTTTAGTATCAAAAGGACACTTTGTCCATCTTGTTTGATGTTGATGTGCCATGGCAGCTGATTGGAACATCTTGGTAACTTTCCTGAAAATCGTTCTAAAATCTCTTCAGTGGTTCACAAAATATTTTTCTAACACTAAATAAAGACCCATGTAAAACATTTTTAGTAAAAGCATTAATTTGGTGAGTCTGTATTTGTTTTAAAGATGTAAAACAGAGTCCATGTGGACAAATAATGTCCCCATGTCCAATAAGAAGACATTTTTCTAAAGAAATAAAACAGTCATCAAAAAGTGTCCAAGAATGAACGCGAAGACAGTAAATGATGTACCACGGTAACATTTTTCACCCCAGAACTCAGATATCAGACTACATTCACATCTCACATGAACTAATTGAAAACATCTGAAGTCAAACTGAACATTTTTCATCCTGATAAATAAAAATGGATCCAGTTGGACTTGGCATAAACTGTGATTGTACCAGCAGAATCAGAAAGTGGTAACATCAATACTGCAGAGACGATCTATGTCTTTGAGGGGAATAAAAGTTTAGTATGAAGTATCTAATACATATCTAACAGATTAATAATGTTTTAACCTCTAAAAAAAACGTCTTCTGAACGGGCTGTTTTATAGCAACTTTTATATATATATAGAAATGAAGTCTGTTTGTGTTCAGTGGAAGTTCAGAGCATTAAAATCATAAAGTGTAGAGTTTTAAAGCTGTAACTTTTTTAAATTTTTAACCCAGATCCATGATTCTGAACAGATCTTCTGATCCAAATCATTAGTTTTAACGTGAACCGTCATCAGCTTCTCCATTTAACTGTATCTCAAAGGCCCGGAACAGATGCGGGTGAACAGAACTCAGATCAAGACCAGGGGAGACCCCTTTCTCATCGAGCCTCACAGAACTGATCCCTGGCTCTTGACCTGCAGGAAAGGTGCACACACGTGGCGCTGCGGTTAAACCACATGGGTGGGTGTGCACACGCAGGATTTTCCTGTTTCTTGTCCGGTTTGGACAGGTCTGTCAGTTGGCCTAAGGAGTTGTTCCTTACAGTTAACCACCCACCCTCCATTCTCTTTCAACTGCAGGTATCTTTATGTCACAACACCGAATGAGACAACATAGAAAGTTATTTTCAAGGTTTGACCGGAACAGAAACCTCTAAAACTCGGATGTGAAAGGCAACAGGACATAGGCAAGTGTGTTTGTTGTATGCAGACTAAAGTAATAAATCTGCTTTGAGTTTGTGCTCATGCAGAATGATGAGAATCTGAATATGGATCAACAGGATATGAGCTTTTGTACCCCAGCCTCACCGCTGCCTTTGACACTGTTGACCACAGTATCATTTTATCATGTTTAGAACACTGGGTTGGGATTACTGGTGCAGCGTTACAATGGTTCTGTTCGTACCTGAGCGACTGGAGTTTTTGTGTTAATGTTGGTAATAGTCTATCCGCTACAGTTTCTCATTCCTGTGGGGTCCCACAAGCCTCCATTCTTGGACCCCTTCTGTTTTCAATGTATCTGTTCTCCTTGGGGTCTATCCTGAGGAAACATGGTCTTTCCTTTCATTGTTATGCTGATGATTCTCAGGTTTATCCGCCCTTAAAACCCAACAGTTCCAGCTCCATTTGTCCTTTGCTAAAATGTCTTGATGACATTAAGACTTGGATGGTTACAAACTTCTTGAGTTTTAATGATCAGAAGACTGAGGTCATTGTGTTTAACACTAGCTCTACCGCTGTCTCTGATCCTGTAAACCTGCACTCCCTTCAGCCATATCTAAACCAGTCTGTTACCAGTCTCGGGATTTAGACTCGGAATTTAAGTTTAATAAACAGATCAACTCTGTTTTTCAAACAAGCTTTTTTCATCTAAGGCAGATAGCTAAGCTTAAGTCCATGCTGACCAGATCCGAGCTTGAAAAATTAGTCCATGCATTCATTACAACCCGGCTGGACTACTGTAACTCGTTTTATGTTGGGGTCAGTCAGCTGTCCTTTTCACGTCTCCAGCTTGTCCAAAATGCTGCAGCTCGGCTCTTAACAGGAACTCGCAGGTCTGAGCACATCTCATTGGTTCTGTCCTCCCTTCACTGGCTTTCTCTGCATGTCAGAATTGATTTTAAAATTCTCCTGCTGATATTTAAGTGCATTAATGGCCTTGCACTCTCATACCTCTCCAACCTTCTTCTTCCTTATGCTCCTTCTCGGGCTTTGAGATCAATGGACCAGCTGCTTTTGGTTGTACCAAAAACCAGGTTGAAGCTCAGAGGAGCTCAGGCATTTTCAGCCACGGGCCCTAAAATTTGGAACAATCTGCCCATAAATATTAGACAGGCCACTTCAGTCTCTGCTTTTAAATCTATCCTGAAAACACACCTGTATACTCATTGACATATTATTTCATTGTGTTTACGTTTTTTTTCTTGTTATTCCTTGACATTTAACTCACGGTGATCTGATTTAGTATTTCATCGTTTCTGATTATGTTTTGTGTTTTTATGTTTTTATTCCTGATGCTGCACTTCTATATTTTTTATTTTTTTATTTGGTGCTTTGATCTTTTTGTTAAACACTTTGGTAAAAGTTCCTGTTTTAAATGTGCTGTATAAATAAATCTGACTTGACGACTTGACGGTACAAAAGGCGTAAACAATGACTATCTTACCTGAAGTAGATGGTTTCTTATATGGTCTCACTTTGGAGAAAGAAGAGCAGATAGCTGTAGCACTTCCTGTCCAGACTGGGGTCAAATCCACTGGGCTGCAATGTTTCTGCCAAAATAATAACGTAAAGTAAAACTGACAGCAACGCAAAACTTTAAATAATATTGTTAGAGTTTAAAGTTGTTTTAAGCTGGCAGAGATCCACTTTGGAAGTTGGACCATGTTGTTGATCCAAAAACAGGCCAGAGTACTGCTCCAGTGAGCAGTTCAAGGTTCTTTATTGTCATTCACATCACATGTGGTGCATGAGGTGGAATGAAATTGTGTACACAAGGTCCCAGTTACAGCCAAAAATTGCAAAAATATAAAGTGTAAAAAGAAATGGTATACAATAATGTAAGATATACACAAATATATACGCTAAACACAAATAATGTAAAATAATACACTATATTAAAAAAGAGGTGGAGATCACGGTGCGATGAAGCCAACAGGACCACACCATACGCAAATAGCAGAGACGGACTCCTGAGGCCACAAAACCAGACCCCTTCCACGCTCCTGGCAGCACCAAGAAATTATGTTTATAAAAATAACAGATACTGTATGTGGACTAATTGGTTTCACACCAAAAGCTGAATCTTATTGTGATTCTGCTGCAGAAACATCATGCACATGTTGCAAAATAGTTGAACAGGTAAACAGTTGAAGATACTGTTTCCTATTGTCAGTGGGCCAATAAAAAATGATTCAGGTTCAAGTTGTTTTTAGTTCAAGTTGGAGTCACTTCAGATCACTATAGAGCCACATGTGGCCCTAATATGGCAGGTTGCAGATCTCCTCTCTCTATGGGCACTTTTAAAGGAGCTGTTAAGGAAACAATCAATCTTTTTGGTAACTTATCGTCATCATCGACTCAGAGTGCTTCTGGATCTGGAGCCCCAGGATTCAGGTGAACCAGTTCAGAAATGCAGAATATTTCTGTAATCTCACCTGTAAAAAACAAATATTGATTCAGCCTGTTCATCCAGCATGCCACCTCTGAAGAGCCTAGCCAGTAAAAGTGCAAAGAGTCAGATCTTTTTCTTTTAATACAGAGAGGCGTTGCAGGAAGCAGACAAAAGCTTTTATTTCTCCTGACGTTTCCTGGATCTGCAGGGACTGAAGAGTGAAACTAGAGAAGATAGAGTTTCTGCGAAAACGCAATGAATCCTCAACGCTGAAGAAGCTGAAACTGAGCTGTTAAAGCTGAAAACAACAAAAACTACCTACAAGCTTAAAACACTGTACCAAACAGCTAAAATTAAGAGAACAGTAGCTAAAGGTAGCAAAAGGCCAGGCAAAAGTTTAAAGCAGCGTAAAACAAGTATAGAGCCAGTTTACTGAAGCAAAGAGAGCAACGTTCTTGAAGGAATTAAAGAAATCTCAATGTAGTTCTACAGAGAATATATATATATATATGTATATATTTTAATTAAATAAGAAATGTTTTTAAAAGAATAAAAGTTACATAAACAAAAAAGTCATAGCAGCAATCTTCTGATTGAGATGAACTTTTTGACAGATGAACGTCTAAAATTTGCTCAAAGTATACCCAATTTGTTAAATAAATAAATAAATAAATAAAAACACACACGTTCTTGTAAACGTACTTTGTGAGGACTTTTCATTGACTTCCATTCTATAGCCTAGCCCTGACCCTTACCCTAAAACTAACCATTACTGGTACATGCCTAACCCTAACCCCCTAACGAGACTTATCCTTATGGGGACCTAGCTTTGGTTCCCATAAAGAGCAGTTGGTTCCCACAACGCATGCTTTTTTGTAAAATTGGTCCCCACAAGGTAACCTGAAACAAAAATGCACACACGTACGCACAAAGCAAAAACAAACAAGAAACCACAATGTGATCAGGTTTCTAAATTCCAGACAAATAGAGAATAAAACGGTTGTATCCTCAGATGGAAACTGATCCACCTGAGCAACTGAACAAACACAGAACCTAGCTTGTTCTGCTCAGGTTCTGTGAGCTGAAGTTTATCAGAAAAAAAGCTTCAAAGTTGCTCTTTTTTCATTTCAACAAAACCTGGAGTTAACTTTTACCCATCACTTTTGGCTGCCTGTGATGGAAACAGAATGTCAGTTAGTACAATATCTCACCAACGACTTGAGGGATTTGATTAAATCAGAACGTGCATCTGCAATTGATTAACCTTTGGAGCCAACCTAATTCAAGATGGCCGTCACAGCCAACTGAACTCACAAACACAAAAATGACATTAACTCAGTCTGAGGGTTAAAGGCTCACATTAGATCTTTGTTTGACATGTTGCCTTTATTTGGAGGCAACTTTATTTGTGAACTGGAGAGATTTGAAAGAAACCTCTGGAAAATAATCAGTGAAATAATAATAAAATAATAAATAATCAGCGAAAGAGTGTCTACAATTGATTAAACTTTGGAGTCAAAGTCATAAAACCTGCCACAGCTAATCAACATTAGCCAATATGATTGATTTTATCATGCATTGTTCAAATCCACCCAACAGTTCATGAGATTATTTTGACAAACCCACACTCACGTGTTGCTGACTTACCGGTTGTTTTTAACTTCAGTTGATGGATTAAAGTAAAAATAAAAGCTCCTTTGCTCTCCTCAGTTCAGGTTATTTCTGCCTGTCCCAGCTTTCCATTTGGTTTATACTCACACTTCCTCTAGTTTGCCTCCTCCTCTCCACTCCCAAATGCAAAAGTCCTCGGCTGAAGCAGGATTTAAATGTTGGCTCTGACTGCCCTGCCTTAAAATGTTCCAGGGTGAAAGAAAGAACGTATGTCGATAGGGTGGAGTGCTGTAAAGTGGGAGGAACCATGAACATTTCTGTAGATATGTTAAACGTACCGATAGTGCAGCCTCCACCCAAAACTTTAACATCCATCAACTTCCTTCTCTGAAGACCTAAAGGAAGGATACCAACGTTTTGACTTATAAACCGGTAAAGAAGTGTGAAGTTAGTGAGACATCACCCTGTAAGATGAACGTTCTTCGGTAAAACCTCGGTATTTCTCCATCTGCTCCTTCCTGATGTTACATTGTCTTGGGATTACTATGTCTATCCCCACTGCCTTCTTCTGTAGCTTGCCAGCCACCATGATGTCCGACTGGTTAGTCATCACCTGCCTCACTTCGACTGTGAGACCTCCAGTCCACAGATGTTCCTGTACACTGGTCCAGACTCAGTGGCATCCTTGCACAATCTGCATCTTGGGTCTTGTCTGAAATGGTAGACCCTGGCCTCTATTGATCTTGTGCTGAGGTTCTGTTCTTGTGCTGCCATGATTAGTGCCTCTGTGCTGTCCTTCAGTCCAGCCCAATCTGGCCACTGGTAGGATTTGTTGATATCAGCCACTTCCTCAAACTGCTTGTGGTACATGCCTTGCCTTTGGTTTCTGCTGCTGCCTGATACATTCACTCATCACTTCTTCATTGGTGGCTGTCCTCCTTGTGCACTCCAGGATCTAAGTTGTTTCATCCTGTATGGTGGCTCTGATGCTCATTAGACCTCTGCCTCTGTTCGTGTACAGTCTCAGGGTGCTGGACATGGGGTGTAACCCTCCATGCATTGTGAGGAGCCTTCGAGTCTTGATGTCAGTGACTCCTATCTTCTCCTTTGACCAGGTTATTATACAGCAGTATCTGAAGACTGGCACTGTAAAGGTTCTGTAAAACGCATCTGTATTTGGTCAGTAATTGGCGTAGTAACTGTTGCAATTCTGCAGCAGAGATTGTACTTGATATAAAAATCTTTTTTTTTATGCTTTAATATCCATTAAGGTGAAAACAGACACGCTCCATGGAGTGTCCTTCCCTCCTTCATGTATTTTCTGACTGCTGCTTCAGTAAACCTAATTATTCCCTTCCTGAGGAAATTAAGTCATGTGTAAAATTATACAAATCAACGAAAGCACTTATGTTGGACATGTTTTCTCACAATGCACTCATACATGTCCATGCAGTGAGCACAGAAAACAGGACTGCTGTTTCACAGCATGTTCTTAGTTGTAATCAAATAATTACCGGTACGTTCTTCAGCTTGTCAGGGACATTTTCACCAAACTGGTTTCAGTCCTTCTCCACAAAGTTTTCCTGCTCAGCATCAGTTCTTCTGTTTCATCTGCCAAACATGAGCAACTCGAAAAGGATTTTTATGTTCCCCTACGTTCCTTTCTGACCCAGCAAACTGTTAAACTCCTTCCTTTCAGAGATATTAGATGTTTGACCTCTGGGGGGAAGGGGGTACTAATGTGTCTACTAAAGTATAAAGTACACAGTTTTTATCATTGAAACGTTGATGGAGTGTTTTGTTAAGGTCCAACAGTTTAGTTTAAAGGGCTCTCTATCAGAACTCCTCTGTTGGTGTTGTTTTCAGATTATTTTGTTTATTTCTGTTATCTTTACAGACTCATCATGACTGAACTGATTGAATCAGAGAGGATCTACGTGGAAGAACTGCAAAGCATCATGGAGGTATAGTAACCAGTCTTGACGTGTGGAGAAGATATGGGCTCATTTGTCACCATCTTGTGAAGTAAAGAAAAACTCACAAAGGTCACAAAAATTGAAACTGACTAAAGTAATAATCAGTCTTACATCGGGGAAACAAAACAGCCACTGGCCAAAAGGATGGCCCAGCACAGAAGCTCAACATCATCAGGCCAGGACTCTGCGGTCTACACTCATCTCCAGGCCAGCGGTCACTCTTTCAGGGATGAAGATGTTCACATCCTGGATAGAGAGGAACGATGGTTTGAGAGAGGAGTAAAGGAGGCCATCTTTGTGAAAAGAAATCGTCCATCATTAAACAGGGGCGGAGGCCTACGTGTTCAACTGTCCCCCTCTTACAATGCTGTGATTGCTAGTATCACTCAGCCCTCTGTGAACAGTAAACAGCCATCAGTGTGCTAATGATCCATTGTTAGGCTGATGGTCCTTCTTAAGCATGTGATCAGCTGGTTTTGGTTGTCAGCAGCAAACTGGTTGATCCACTCTGAGAAGGTGCTATTTAAGAGACTGAGCTGAAAACAGCTCCTCAGACTGAGGAAGTCTCTTGGATGAGAGACGAAACGTTTCTACATTTTTTTGCTTTTTTTTTTTTTTTTTTTTATGTCCAGAGGACCAGATTGAACTTTTTTGGATTTTTCTACCTGGATTATTGAGCATCAGGATAATAATCAGACAATTACTATGCTGAAAATCTCCTGATGCATGCTCAATAATCCAGGTAGAAAAATCTAAAAAAGTTAAATCTGGTCCTCTGGACATTCAAAAAAACAAAACAAAGCAAATCAAAAAAAAAATCTAGAAACGTTTCGTCTCTCATCCAAGAGACTTCCTCAGTCTGAGGTGCTGTATTCAGCTCAGTCTCTTAAATAGCACCTTCTCAGAGTGGATCAACCAGTTTGCTGCTGACAACCAAAACCAGCTGATCACATGCTGAAAATCAATCATTGCTTTTGAAACAAACTTCAGCAGAAATCTTTTACAAAAACTACTGGCTGACTAAATAGTTGGTACTGTATTTCTATAAAAATAGAAAACAATCTGACCAGAGGAACATCTTAAATTAAGGTTTGTCCTGTAATCAGCATCCCAGGGGTCTTCAGTCTGTAATCAGACAATCTGTTTTTTTAAAGGGTGACAGGTAGTCACAGGGCTGTTTGCTATCATGGTGTGTAATACAATGAAAGCTGAGGACAGAGTTGTCTCAGGAGTTTCAAAGGAAAATGACTGACATCATGTCAAAGGTAAAGACCATCAGGCCATATCCAAACAGCTTGATGTTCCTCTGACTACAGCTGCTCAGATTATTCAGAAGGTCCCCAGGACATACGATAATCTAAGTTTTAAACTCTAGTATGAAACACGGCAAGCAAAATACCTTTTTTCTGGGAAGGGTAGGACTTTGTTTTTCTTGTTTTACTTTAAAAACAGGAATTACCTACCCCCCTACCCCAATTCTGCTTTCTGTTTCATCTGGTTCCTCAGGGCTACTTTGCTGAGCTGAGTAACTTGGAGAGGAGTCATCATATCCCCCCATCATTGGAGAACAAGAAAGATGTGCTGTTTGGCAATCTGCCAGAGATATATGATTTTCACAACAAGTAAGATTTTATTTGCATAAATAGTTCTTTATTATGTAAAATTCAAGTTAAAGGTTTGTTTAAACTCCTCCCGTCATCTGACAGATTTTTAGGACAAGTCCTAATGTAAAGTTAGGGCTTTAATTACAATTCGTATACCTTTATAGTTTGAAAACTGTCAATTTTCTCTTCAGTCTGAAGTGGTCTACATCCCTCAAATGAGTCTCAATAATCAAAATTATGTGTGCACTACAATTCTGTAGATGGATCAAAAATGAACTGTGTTTAACTGGATTATAATTTAGGATATTAAAATTCAAACTAACAAATCTAATATCCACTGATACCAGCAGTCACTTCAAATACAATTTTTATTAGATATTTCGTCCTATTAAGCTCAAATTCTACATAGCTCTGAAAATATGGAGTAATTTATCCCTGAACCAATAAATCAATGAATAATTCAAAAAGACTCCCTCCCTCCTTTTCTCCTGGAAGAAGCATGAATCCAACAATGCATGCTATGTCTTCCCACAATAAAACAAAACTGTAACCTGTCATCGTACAATAAAACACAACCTGAGGGAGTGTGTAGATAAGCTGTCCTGTATGAAAAGATAAAATATTTTTTAAAGCAGAAAAGATGTCAGAAACCAAAGAACCAAAAGACCATAGCTAGAGACAAGCTCAGCACACAGCTGGTGTTTCATGATTGAAGTATAGAGCTCAGCCACACAGACCAACACAAGGAACTCCCAGTTTCCAGAACATAATTCTTCTTTAGTTTCAAGTTGACAAATTCCACGTCTTCTGTTGGATAAATTAATCATCCTTTCATCATCTCTTTACTCAAGCATCCATAACCTTTATCTCAATTCCCCTGACATCTTCAAACTCATGTGTTTGGCCATTTAACATAGTATTGTGTGGAGGGAACTGAATTTAACATTTAACACAACCATGGAGCTCTTTTTTTTTTTTACAGAGATAAGAGCCTCCCTCTGTCCACAGACCGTGTGAAGTCAGAAAAAAATGTACACAATTTTTCTGTTGGATAACAGGGGATAGTCTTCACATCATGATAACATGTCCTGGTTCAACACATAGTGTGAACTTTGTCCAGGCCCGGTTTCTCCTCGAGCACAACTAATTCTAAAGAAATTTTTCCATAAACTCTGTAGGGTGTGGACTTTCTGAGCCCTCCTACAGGCTGCGAGTTAAATATTAGTCAACCTAAGGCGTGCCTCTAAGTCTTTATCATTCTTACTCAAAATGTCTAATATAGCTTTGCCATATTAGCTTACTAGCTATCTGATCACTATGCTCATTAATATGTCAAGCTCATAAATAATTTAGTTTTAATAAGCAACTTATTCTTTGAGCAGTTTTAAATCAGTTGCCACTTCCTTCTTAAGGAACTCTGAGATTATTGACTCAAGTCTGGTGTTATTTGGTGTCCATTTTCTGTCATGGTAAAACATTGTAGCATCTTTTCTTTAGCATCCAGCTTCTTGGGTGAATCAACTTCCCTAAAGTTGCCTAGCACAACCTTTCACCCTTGACGTTTATCCAAATATGGCTCTGAAGACACTGAGGTACTGATAGCTCTTCTAACATATAGCCACAGCAAGCAATGGACAAATTTAGGTGTTAATTATAATATATTATAATCACTTTCTCACAGAGCTACCACTAAACATGTCCTACTCTATGCATGTTCAATAACTCCACCCCAAAACAGTCATATCTAAATATAAGACCTGTCATCAGGTCCATAATTTAGTTTGTTAAAATCGAATTGTACATTGTTGAATGGTACACTGTAAACAAAAGAGAGGAGGGAAAAATGTCTTACAGTTGTTGCTCAAAATTATAACAATCCCAGGAGGATTCAGCCGACAGCTGAAACTGGATTTTAAAATGGAGGTTAATCCACCTTCACTGGCAGCGGCGGGAGTTGAGCTGTAGAAGGCACAGTCAAGAGCAAGAAGTCTGGAAAATGAAGCTGACACAAGATAAAGCCAAGCTTTTTGTCAGGACCATAAAATCAGGTTTGGGGTGAATATAGTCTTAGAAAAGTCTAATTACCCGGTGATCTACAACTTAGCAGGGCTAAACAAAAAAACTGGTTCTTTTTGTTGACTGGAACAGAGAGGTACATCTGAGAAGCTTCCCAGTATCCAGGCCACCTTGAATTTTAGCCATTGCTACTAGTACCAGATGTAAGCAGAGAGACAGAATCACTTGCTCAATCCAGTAATAATGACAGGTTATTTAGACCTAGTGGTCTCCTGATGTCCATTGTCTGGTAAAACCTCACACAGAAGCAGAGGAAGCATCTTTTTAGCAATTAAAGACTCATTAAGTACAAGAGGGAGGAAATTTCCAGATGTGTGACTGGAGACTGAGAAATTGGTGAGGAGTTATTGTGGATGTGTTAATACTGCAAAAATCAAATTCTGGTATTGTTTGTTTGTTGTATAGAGAACGGATTTAGAGGTATCTGTTCGGTGTCAAGGTGGCACGGTGGCATAGTTGTTAGAGCTTCTGTCTCTTAGCAAGAAATTCGCCTGACCACATTCCTGCCTAGCAGGCCATTTTGGGTGGAGTTTGCATGTTATCTCCATGCATGCGTGGGTTTTCTCCGGGTACTCCGGTTTCCTCCCACAGACCAAAAACTTGCATGTTAGGCTGATTGGTAATGCTAAATTGTCCCTAGGTGTGACTGAGAGAATGAATGGCTGTTTGTCTTGTTTGTCTCCATGTGTCCCTGTGATGGACTTGCAACCTTTCCAGGGTGTCCCCTGCCTCTCACACAGTGAAGGCTGGGCATGGGCACCAGTGACCCCCATGACCAAGAAAGAAAAAAAAGCAGGTTAAAGATAATGGATGGATGGATGGATGGATGGATGTCTGTTCGGTGTCATTTAAACAAGACAGAGCATAACTATTGGGTCAAGTACTTCAACATTTTTTTACATTTTGTAACTCTACATGTCAATATGGTGAACAAATGTAAATGTTTACACCAACTGGACAGCAGGAATATTCTTTTTGTTGTATCTACTCATGCAGAAAACATTAAAAAAAATGTTGAATATCTTTTACTTGCAGGACATTTCTTATGGAGCTGGAGAACTGTGCAGAGAACCCCGAGCTGGTGGGAACCTGTTTTCTGAGAAGGGTCAGTAAGTTAAAAACTGTAAACCCTATAATTGAAGATCCTATATGCAGACAGTGACATATTGACCACAAATAACTCCCACCCATCACTAAATGACTGCAGTGAAAAAAAAAAAATAGGTATAAAAATAAGAAAAACTGGTATTGTTGCCATCACACCAAAATGTTTCTTTTTTGTTGCAGAAATGTTACTTTAACTAAAACTATGGTATATCTCAGAATGATATGCAATTTTTATGCAGCACTTATGTTACACAACTTTGGTGTGGGAAGATCAGACATTCATAGTTTGAAACCACGGTGCCTCCAAACCCGTAGCAACATCGGCTGTGTAATGAGAGAGACACATAGTATGAAGCTGGATTAACAAGGTCTTTGTCAGATGTTGGGGAACCAGGAAATTCTGATGAGAAATTAAATTACTGGAAAAAGACATTCATGGACAAGGGCACTGTTGGAATTCTACTTTGGGAGCAAGTCTAGAGAGAGGGGCTATATGAGAAGGTTGTTGAAATGATGGAAACTTTGAGACCCATTATCCATTGACTCAGAAACAACTTTGGACCCAGTGTTCCAACATTTGAGAGAAATGTGTTGTCCTACATGGAGGAGAATGAACGCTAGAGGCAAGGCAACACAGAGAGAAATCCTAAGGCCACCAAAACGGATCCCCTCAACACCTTGGCTGCGCCTAGAAATTCTGTCCATAAAAGTTATGAACAGAATTGGTGACAAAGGGCAACCTTGGTTGAGTCCAACTCTCACCGGGAACAAGCCCGACTTACAGTCGGCAATGCGGACCAGGCTCTGACACCAGTCATACAGGGACCTAACAGCCCGTATCAAAGGGCCCGGTACCCCATACTCCCAGAGTACCCCCCCCCCCCCCCCACAGGGTTCCCCGAGGGATGCGGTCAAACTCCTTCTCCAAGTCCACAAAGCACATGTAGACCGGTTAGACAAACTCCCATGCACCCTCCAGGACCCTGCTGAGAGTGTAGAGCTGGTCCAGTGTTCCACGACCAGGACGAAAACCGCACTGCTACCCCTGAATCCGAGGTTTGACTATCCGACGGACCCTTCTCTCCAGAACCCCCGAATAGACCTTACCAGGGAGGCTTAAGAGCGTGATCCCCCTGTAGTTGGAACACACTCTACGGTCCCCATTTTTGAATAGGGGGACCACTACCCCTGTCTGCCAATCCAGGGGAACTTTCCCCGATGTCCACGCAATATTGCAGCGTCGTGTAAGTCAACACAACCCTACAACATCCAGAGCCTTAAGGAACTCCGGGCGAATATCATCCACCCCTGGGGCCCTGCCACCGAGGAGCTTTTTAACCACCTTGGTGACCTCAGCACCAGAGATTGGAGGGCCCAACCCAGAGTCCCCAGGCTCCGCTTCCTCAGTGGAAGACGTGCCGGTAAGATTGAGGAGGTCTTCAAAGTATTCTGCCCACCGACCCACGACATCCCGAGTTGAGGTCAGCAGCACACCACCCCTACTATAAACAGTGTTGGTGGTGTACTGCTTTCCCTCCCTGAGACGCCGGATGGTGAACCAGAATCGCTTCAAAGCCGTGCGGAAGTAATTTTCCATAGCCTCTCCGAACTCCTCCCATGCCCGAGTTTTTGCCTCAGCGACCACCCGTGCCACATGTCGCTTGGACTGCTGGTACCCATCAGCTGCTTTCAGGGTCCCACAGGCCAAAAAGGCCCAATTGGACTCCTTCTTCAGCCTAACAGCATCCCTCACCACCGGTGTCCACCACCGGGTTTGAGGGTTGCCGCCCTGCGACAGGCACCGACAACTTTGCGGCCGCAGCTCCGGTAAGCCGCCTTGACAATAGAGGCACGGAACATGGCCCACTCGGACTCAATGTCCTCCACCTCCCCCGAACATGTTCGAAGTTCTCCCAGAGGTGGGAGTTAAAGCTCCATCTCACAGGAGACTCTGCCAGATGTTCCCAGCAAACTCTCACAATACGTTTGGGCCTGCCAGGTCTGACCGGCATCCTCCCCCACCATCAGAGCCAACTCACCACCAGGTAGTGATCAGTGGACAGCTCCACCACTCTCTTCACCCGAGTGTACAAGACATGTGACCACAGACCAGATGAGATGACGACAAAGTCGATCATCGAACTGCGGCCTAGGGTGTCCTAGTGCCAAGAGCACATATGGACACCCTTATGCTTGAACATGGTGTTTGTTATGGGCAATCCATGATGAGCACAGAAGTCCAACAATAGAACACCACTCGGGTTCAGATCAAGGGGGCCGTTCCTCCCAACCACACCCATCCAGGTCTCACTGTCATTGCCCACGAGAGCATTGAAGTTCCCCAGCAGAACAAGGGAGTCTCCAAGAGGTGCACTTTCCATTACCCACTCCAAGGACTCCAAAAAGGGTGGATAATCTGAACTGCCGTTTGGTGCATAAGCACAAATGACAGTCAGAACCCATCTCCCCACACGTAGGCAGAGGGAGGCCACCCTCTCATTCACTGGGGTGAACCCCAACACACAGGCACTAAGATGGGGCGCAATAAGTATGCCCATTCCTGCTCGGCGCCTCTCACCAGGGGCAACTCCAGAGTGGAAGAGTGTCCAACCCCTCTCAAGGAAACTGGTTCCAGAGCCAGAGCCATGCGTAGAGGTGAGTCCGACTATTTCTAGCCGGAGCCTCTCAACCTCACACACCAGCTCAGGCTCCTTCCCCACCAGTGAGGTGACATTCCATGTCCCAATAGCCAGCTTCTGTAGCCGAGGATCAGACCGCCAGGGTCCCCGCCCTCGGCCACCACCCATCCCACATTGCACCCGACCCCTTTGGCCCCTCCCACAGGTGGTGAGCCCATGGGAAGGGGGACCCACGTCTCCTCTTCGGGCTGTGCCCGGCTGAGCTCCATGGGTAAAAGCCCGGCCACTAGGTGCTCGCCCGTGTGCCCTACCTCCAGGCCTGGCTCCAGAGTGGGGGAGTTTGGACTGCACTTTGTCTGGTCCCTCACCTAGGACCAGTCTGCCTTGGATGACCCTACTAGGGGCGTGAAGCCCCTGACAGCATAGCTCCAAGGATCATTGGGGCACTCAAACCCCTCCACCACGGTAAGGTGGCAGCCCAGGGAAGGGTTCTAAATAAAAAAAAATCAATATATCTCCCTTTAACTCTCATCAAAACTCTTGCTGCAGAACTTTGGATTGGCTGAAGACTTTTTAAAGATTTTTTTTTAAACACCCAGATAACAAATAATTACAATAGTCCAGCTGGACTATGGAGCAGTTTTTCTGCATCATTTTGGGATAAGATGTTTCTAATTTTAGTGATATTGTTCAAGTGGAAGAAAGAGGTCCTGTTTATATTTTTAATACTGAGACTAATTTATACATCTTGATTAAAAAAAAATAAGAATAACATCAAGTTTCTTTACTTTAAAACTGGAGACCAAATTAATGCCATCCAGAGGAAGAGAAAGGCTGCAGAGTTGATCAGGTCCAAAAAACCACCACCTCTATCTGCACAAGTTTAAAATCAGAAAATTAAGAGTCATCCATATTGTGTTTACGTGAAACAACGAGCGAGTTGTCGTCACAAATATCAGTTTCACCAGAAGATTTTAGCTAACTGTCCATAAAAACAATGCATCTGAAAAAGTCAAGATCTGTAAAAACAAAAGAAAGGACGGACTGAAAACTGAATTGAATTTTTTAAACTTTGACAAGTCTTCAGTTATGTGTAAAATAATATTAAATGTCCAAAGAAACACTTTTAAAGACGTATAATTTGAGTAAAAACTAAAGGTTGAGGATTGTGCCTCTGGTCACCAGGACTTGTTTTTGTGTGGTCAGAAAGAAGAGCTTCAGGTGTATGAGAAGTACTGTCAGAATAAACCTCGCTCTGAGGTCGTGTGGAGACAGTGTGGAGACAGCCTTTTCTTTCAGGTGACACACACAAACACTACATATTTAATGACTTCTGCTCATTTGTCAGGTTGAATGAATTAAACGTTTTTGTTGTTTTGTTACTGATGAAGAAACTTTGACTCCAGGAATGCCAGAAGAAACTGGACCATAAACTGTCTCTGGATGCGTACCTGCTGAAGCCTGTGCAGAGGATCACCAAATACCAACTCATGCTCAAGGTACGCAGCATGTGCAGACCTAAAATGTGATGTCAATATTTTGCTTTTGCCTAATATTTTTTACCTAAATACAAACTGGAAACACTGAAAATGTAATGTTTTTACGTCCTCCTGTTTCATTTAATATTTTTACTCACTGATCTGAAACTCTCCACCTCACTCTGTTTGTGTTATGACCTTCCTGAATAACATACCTCAGAATATCAGAGTGTGAAACATGACATTTGAAACCATAATCCTGAACACCGGCATTCCGCAGGGCTGTGTGCTTAGTCTGGCCCTTTTTATCCATATCACTATCTATGTCTCCATCCACTCCGCCGCAATTATTGTGAAGTTTGCAAATGACACTACGGAGATGGGCGCTCTCAGACCATAATTACCTGCAGCATTCCTTCAGTGTGGACTGAACTCGGCAAAAAGGCCTTTTCTTACTCTGCTCCTGCAACCTGGAACACCTTGCAAAAATATCTGAAGCTGTCCAATTAGATTTTGTCAGCCATCTTGACCACGGAGTTGGTGCCAGTTCTTTTGTTTCCAGGTGGAGAGAAGACTCACGCCGACTCATATAATCATAGAAAAGTATAAAGCTTTTACCATTTAATCTTGATAAGGCAGAAAAGTTACAGGTTCAGCACTGAGGCTTGGGTCCAGTCATCATGCAAACAATGTCCGACCAGCCCCGAAACAAGGAAGCATCTCCTTCGTATAGTCTCTAGGCTCTGCCTAGTTACAGAGGATGAAGCACAGCCTTCCGTGTTATCAGTATTAATGCGTGGCCCAAATAAGGTTTTAACTGATCTCTCAGTGTTTCAGCTGGTGTAGTGTAACTATTTTTCTGTGTGCTACAGCGCTAAGCAATTAAACCGTTCTTCAAATAAGGATGAGACCTCAGACATCCGTTGAAGGCAGCTGTATGACTAAGTTCCTCTTTTCTATTTAACAGTTTGATTATTTTAGGACATACGTAACATCAGAAGCAGAACTTTGACGCTGCTTTTCAAACTAGATTAAACCAGGCTGAACAGACAAACTAGGGTTCATTCTGAGGACATGTGTTACAATTTCCATGACAGGTTTTAAACATTAGAAAATATATGCAAATATGTTCTTGTTTTTAGTATTTTACCTTGTTTTATTTGGCACCTCGATTTGACTGTTTGTATAACTTCTTTTTATTTGATTTAATTGCTTTTTGTTGAATTATTGTCGTCTGTACTTTATATGTTCTCTCTTTAAAATAGGTCTCTCTTGAAAATGTGTTGTCGTGACCCAACAAGACTAACCTGTATGAATGATGGTTGAATGAATTACAGACAATAAGACATTTTACAGGCAGGAAGACCAACATCTGTCAGGTGTGTGTGCAGAAAATGGCCTGGTCCTCAACACTATCAGAACCAATGAGGTCATTAGAGACTTTTGAAAAACCGAGAACCCTCCACATCAACAATATGGAGGCGCAGACAGTGAACTCAGTTTGATCATTTGGCAATCACATCACCAAGGGTCTGACATGGACACTAAACATGCTAACTGAGGATGTTCTTATTGAGAAAGCTGAAGCAAGCTAATCTAGCTCCATGGCTACTGAACATTTTTTGCAGAGGGACTATAGAGAGCATCTTCTGCCAAGGCTGCATAGTGGAGTACAGCTGCATGACTGAGGATATAAGGGACGTGTCTCAGGTGGTGAAGACTGCACAGGAGGTCCCAGAGTTGGACTGTGTGTACTCTGAGCGCATGCATAGACATACATGGTCCAACAGTATGGACAACAGACCCTCAGGTGAATCCATGTTTGACCCACTGCTGTCAGGGAAGAGGAACCGCACCATCAGGACTAACAGGATGAGGAACAGCATTTTTCAGCCCCTCCACCGCCTTCTGCTTCCACACACATTCACACACCAAGAGAATCAAATGTTTTTAAATTGTTTTCAGATGTTTGTGGTTGTCGTGTTTGTGAAATGTGTTGTTTATGAGTGTGCCAACAAAATTTCATGTAAAAGTACAGTGACCATTAATATCCTAAAATCCTTGAATCCTCCTAATTCATGCTCTGGACTTTCTTATCAACCAGGAGATGTTAAAGTGTAGTAAAGGGGAAGGGATGGCAGAGCTGGAGGAGGCTTTAGCCACCATGTTGGACATCATCAAGTCTGTCAACGACTCCATGCACCAGATAGCGATCACTGGATTTGAGGTGAGGCTCATGAATTTGTGAAGAAAACACAATATGAGAAATAAAATGTGAAAAGACAAATAGTTTAAAACGCTCTCTAGTGGTTTACGTTTTCATTAGTCCAAAGACCTGTAAGTTTCGTTGGCCAACTTTAGGCAAATGCGTGAGAGTTCATCTGATGATGCAATGTATCTGTTGGACAAAAACATCCTCTATTCATCTTAATTACTAAAAAGAAACCACACGAGGACACAGGAAGATATTTAACTGGTTTTAACTTGCAACGACAGACTTTCACTCACAAGCTTACACAGATGCAGCATTGAAGCCCGTCTGCCCTGGACAGTGTGTGAGAATAGTTTATATAATACATGCTTATCAGCTATCACAGTACACACAGGCCATGATGACCTCGGCCTCCCAGATGTACAATCCAATGGAAGGATTAAATATCCTCTCAGTCCTGGGATCACCTGGGGATCCCCCCAGGAGGAGCTGGAGATAGACAGGGCTCTGTGCTTCCCTCCTGGACCTGCTGCCACAGAGAAGTGATTGAACATTTTTGGACAACGTATTTCATTACATTTGTGCATTCTGTCCATGCATGACTCATTTTGTGCAGATATATATTTTATCTCTCTTTTTGGATTATATCAATAGTTGAATCTTCTATCATGGCATTTTGAGTTGAACACCTAAAATTAAAGTCTGACATCATGTTTGTTTGTTGACAGGGAAACCTGAGCGAACTGGGAAAGCTGCTGATGCAGGGATCCTTTAACGTATGGACCGACCACAAAAGAGGCCACAGCAAGGTACATTCACTCAACACAGCTTGACCCTGCCTCCATGATCAGGTCATAAATGGACCCTGTTAGGAGTAAGTGTATCATCTCTACTAAGGCTCACTCCATGGTTGATCGAGGTTCTTTCTGACGTGCACCTTCAGAAAAAAGCTTCAACAGTTACATTTTCAGCGAGTGTTTGCCTGTACTGAACCCAGGATCAGACTGAGGTGGTGAGGTCCCATGAGCAGAATTTTATTTTGGGGTCCCTTTCAGTTAAACCGATCATTCACTCACAGCCACCATCTGTTCATCTAGTCCTCGATTCACCTTCTGTAGTCAGTTTATTTGTTAGTTTATTTGACAGAGACGATGCACACAAACATAGAACAGAACAAGTCTGTGATTGATGCGTTGCACAAAGAGTGTATACATAGCTACAGCTAATTCACAACTCCAGTCCCTGGTTGGGCATTTCTATGCATTAAAATACAATTTATCAATCAAAATACAGTTAGAGTACCTACGTACTCCTGCCTACATATTCATGTAATCAATCTAACAACCTCCAAATTCATATAATAAAAACTACACATTAAAATACAAACAATTTAAAAATCTAAATACAATAAAAATACAAAACATTTTCCTCTACAAATTCTAAAATAACTTTGCAACCCACAAATTTACATAAACATAGCACCTCCTCAATACCTCCCCATCCTCACACATTCAGCTAACATACTAAAAATTGTAAATATGCTAATTCACTAATACATACACTACCACAAAGACGTTTGCATCCATAAAATCTGAGTAATAAAAATGATCACATCTTTGATTTTCCTTTAGCCAAGTTTTAGTCATGTAAACGAACTAAACTGTACATTTAAGACAACCAGTTTATTGCACTGAGCCAACCATTAACTCCTTAAACTGACTTTTCTTTGTTGTCACTTCAGACTCTTTGAATTCTTCTATAAATAAAATACGGTGCACAACTGAAGCTATCTGGTGCTCAAGCAACAATGTCTCAAGCAAACCTGAAAAGTGATGCTCACTAGACAGTATCCAGTGCTGTTTAGTGTCTGTGTTTCAGTTTGGAAAGTAAACCAGGACATTTATGTGAGCTATATTAAAAGCTTGAATTACATCTGGATTGTTTTGACATAAAAATAATTTACTTTGTCTTTACAGTGTTTGGATGATGTTATTAGGACCAGTTCGTGCTTTCAGGCAGGTGAAGGTAGCTCCTTCTGAAACCATTCTTTATATTAGTCTGAGCACAAGATATTTAGCTCACCAGACTACAGTACTTAAAGGATTTCCTCTTAATGTTTCCTACTGATGTCCCCTTAGGACAGGGGTGCCAAACTCACTTACAAAAGGGGGCCAAAATTAAAATATTTTTCAAACTAAGGGCCAATTTCAGAATCTACATTAAGTCAAATCAGATACCCAACATCTTTTCTTGGTCGCAGTTCCTCAACAAGAGTTTGATTTGTCTCATTTGATGTTCTCTGTTGTGATTTCGACATCATAATCAAAGATTACTGAAAAAAATTCAAGCGATAGATTTTATGTTTCACATATCGTCTTCGTGGCCAGATAAGATGTCAACAAGGGCTACATTTGGCCCCCGGGCCTTGAGTTTGACACTTATGCCTTTGGAGTTCAATCATTTAATGTTCACTTTTTTTAGTAGTTTTAGAACATTTTTAGTGGTTTTTAGTTTGTCATATTTCTGTGTCATGGTTTGAGCTTGAGGTTGAACCCAGCACGCTGACAGAACTCAGGAACTTGCGGATTACACAAAATGATATTTATTAAACGCAACAAGAAGGGCTGACATGGCAGCAAAACTTACATACGGGGAGACGCTCACAGGAAGAGCAGGAACAGAACATCAAAATAAACTTTATTGGCATTGCACCGAGATACAACGCGAATATGAACGTACAGTCGTCCGAAGATGGGCGGAGTGCACAAAGCTGCGGCTAAAATAATCAGCGCGGCCTTCTTATTCAGAATAATATTTTGCTTGGATAAGAAAAGGAAAGAAAACATGGAGGAGAGATGGTATAAAAAATAAAAAAAAATCTCTCACACCGTGTCCTAGACAGGGCACAATTTGAGGCATCAAAAAAAAAAAAAAAAAAAAAAAAACTACCACAGCAAAGCAACATAAACAGACGTTATACATGTACATATAGGCGGTGACAACATTGAATTTTTAAGGGAAAGTCGTAGCATAGTCCAGAGCCCCCC